TTTCCAATAGTTTTGTACAGAATGCATATTTTCTGTTTGTTGGGTACACATCTCTTGATATCTTTTCTTTTTATTATCATTATTTTTTAAGATTTTATTTATTTATTTGACAGACAGAGACATAGCGAGAGAGGGAACACAAGCAGGAGGAATGAGAGAGAGAGAGAGAAGCAGGCTTCCCGCCGAGCAGGGAGCCCAATGCGGGGCTTGATCCCAGCGGGATCATGACCTGAGCGGAAGGCAGACGCTTAATGACTGAGCCACCCAGGCACCCCTATTTTTATTATTTTTTAAAAGATTTTATTTATTTATTTGAGATAGAGCAAGCGAATGAGAGAGAGAGAGCATGAGTGGGGTGGAGGAGCAGAGGGAGAAAGAGAAGCAGACTTCCCACCGAGCGGGGAGTCTGAAGTCAGACTCGATCCCAGGACCTGAGATCATGACCTGAGCCAAAGTCATACACCTAACCAACTGAGCCATCCATACTGTATGATTTAATGATTTTTATTATATTCATAGAGCTGTGCAACCCTTACCACAATCAAATTTAGGACATTTTCATCAACCCCCCAAAGAAACCTCATACCAAGAGTTACTCACCATTTCCCCCCAACTTTCCTTCTCTATTACTGTCTCTATAGATTAACCTGTCATACAGGTTAATTTGGTATAAATGGAATCATACAATATGTGGTCCTTTCTGTCTGCCTTCTTTTACTTAGCATAAAATTTTCAGGGTTCATCCATGCAGCATCATGTATCAGTATTTCTTTTAATGGCCAAATAATATTCCATTGTATGGCTAGTAGCACATTTTGTTCGATCCAGTCATCAGTTGATGGACATTTGGATTGTTTCTACTTTTTGACCATATACATTCATGTACATGTTTTGTATGGATATGTTTTCAATTCTCTTGAGGTGTATACTTTGGAGTGGAATTTCTGGGCCACATGATAACTCCATATTTAACATTTTAAGGAACTGCCAATTGTTTCCTAAAGTGGCTGCACCCTTTTACGTCATCACCAGCAATGTATGAGGGTTCCAATTTTTCTACAATCTTGCCAACATGTTATTATATTTTTTATTATAGCTATCCTAATAGGTATTTCATTGTGATTTTGATTTGCATATCCCTGATAGTTAACGGTGTTGAGCATCTTTTCATTTTCTTATTGGTTATTTGTGTATCTTCATTGGAGAAATAGCTATTCAGATCCTTTGCTCATTTTAAAATTAGGATGTTTGCCATTTTTTTTAAGATTTTTTATTTATTTATTTGAGAGAGAGAGAGAGAGAGAGAGAGTGCCGGGGGAGGGGCAGAAGGAGAGGGAGAAGCAGACTCTCCGCCGAGCAGGGAGCCCCACACAGGGCTCGATCCCAGGACCCCAGGATCACGCCCCAAGCTGAAGGCAGACACTAAACCCACTGAGCCACCCGGGCACCCCTGGATGTTTGCCTTTTTAATTATTGAGTCATATGAGTTCTTTATGTTCTGTGTACAAGTCCCTTTATCAGACATATGATTTTCAAATATATTTTTACTCTCTTGATGGTATCATTTGTAGCACAAAAAGTTTTAATTTTGATGTAGTTTAATTTTATTTTTTTGTTGTTGCTTGTGCTTTTGGGTGTCATCTAAGAAACCGTTGTCCGACTCAGGGATGTAAAAATTTACTCATGTTTTTTCCTAAGAGTTTTATAATTTAACTCTTACCTTTAAGTTTATGATCCATTTTTAATTAATTTTTGTAAATGCTGTGAGATAGTTGTCCCGCTTCATTCCTTTGCATCTGGATATTCAGGTGACCCATATGGCTTTTTTAAAATTAATATTTGCCTAGTATACGCACCTATTAGTTTATTTTTAGATACCCTCATAACTTTGTAATTCAGATGTTAGATATGTGAGATACAACAGTTATCCCCATTTTACAGATTTGATGAAGTGTCTAGTGGAACGACAGACCCATGCATAGAGACAGAAAGTCAGTACAATGGACAGGATAAGCGTTCTGATTTCCCACCCCAACCCAGGAGTTATTGCCTACCTTCCGAGCCATTTAAATAAGCCCACCTCACTCACAATAAATTCTGAACATTCACAACAGCTCATCCCCTGGAGTGGTCAGGAGGTGATTAGTAACCTTATGCCTGATTAACAGAAACTTTCAAAATGATGATACACATCAATTTTCTCACTTTGGAGGTCAAGGTTATTGGGCAGACTCAAGAGGGCTCTGAAAAAGTTTCAAGGGACAGTTAAGATCCTCCTACACCCCAATATTTCTACTACCTTAGTTTTTCCCTATATTTTGTCTTTATTTATTATCCATATGACTTTCATTTGCACAATTATTTTTTGTCCCACTCAGTTCATTAGTCTCTCCACCCAGTGGAAGATTTTGTTATTGTACTCCTTTACTGAGCACTAAGAAAATTCGATGTTAGCATACAGGGAAAGGATTGACAAGCCGACATGCTGGAGTACAGAATCAAGAGACTTTGGGAGTCCATGGTCTGTCTGAGGGTTTCTTAACCTTGGCACTACCGACATTTTGGACTAGATAATTATTGGTTGTGGGGGCTGTCCTGTGCATTGCAGGATGTTTGCAGCATCTCTGGCCTCTACCCACTAGATGCCAGTGGTGGCACCTGCTAATCAGTTGTGGCAACCAAAGATGTCTCCAGACACTGCCAAATGTCTCCTAGAGGTCAAAATCACCCACAATTGAGAACTACTGATTTAACTATATAATCTCTTTCTCACATCCTTTCCACACCCCCTGGTACAGCAGTTAAGTGGTTAAATATTTTTAAAAATTCGTAACGTTCTGCATCTTTTTTTTTTAAAGATTTTTATTTTATTTGACAGAGAGAGCACAAGCAGAGGGAGAGAGAGAGGGAGAAGCAGCCTCCCTGCTGAGCAAGGAGCCCGATGTGGGGCTTGATCCCAGGACCCTGGGATCATGACCCGGGCCGAAGGCAGCCGCTTAACCGACTGAGCCACCCAGGCGTCCCAGCATCTTTTGTATTATATTATGGTCTCTGAAAATCTATGTCTTAACTGAAAGGCAGCTATTTCAAAAGTGGAATAATGGGCTGATACCTGGTTTGCTGTGTCACACTATTATTACAGCCCCGTATGTAGTAAGAGCCAATGTATTTGAAAAGTGACGGAAAAAACAGCACCTGTCAAAAGTGGTGCCTGATAGCTTCTGATTTCTGAGGCCTCTGAGACACAAAGTCCAACTAGAAAGCTCTATCATGAGCATTAAGTTCTCTAGAACTCTTTCAATATTTGAAGCCTGTGTAATTTGGGGTTTCTTGTCCTACAAATTTAAAAGATCTACACTTGATTAATGTAAATTTGAATTTTTATAGAGTATGTTTTCATGTAGTTGGCAAGACTAAATATGTCAAGAAAAATATCTCAGTTATATGTCCTACACAGATTTAATTTTTGGCTCTGAGAAGTCCTAGTGCTTACTAGATCAAATCAGAAAGAATTTTTTTTTTTCAATTCCAGTATAGTTAACATACAGTGTTAGTTTCAGGTGTACAATATAGTGATTCTCAAATCAGAAGGCACTTGTTCAGCCCCTTGTAAAATTCTTCATTATGCTTATTTGGAATAAAGCAGACATCAATTAGAAAATGCAAGCACTAAACAACTGAATTTTACCTATATATATTGACAAAAACACACAACCATATTTTATGCTGGTAATTAAAATATTTATTAAAAAAAAAAAAACCCAGTTGGATAAAGCAACATGCACTAGGTTCTCCTAGGATCAAAGTTTATTCTTGGGGCCCCTGGATGGCTCAGTCCTTGGGCGTCTACCTTCTGCTCAGGTCATCATCCCAGGGTTCTGGAATCAAGCCCCGCGTCAGGCTCTCTGTTCGGTGGGAAGAATATTGAGTACCTCTGAGGATTACCTGTTATCTTTAAAGATTTTATTTATTTATTTGAGAGAGAGAGAGCACCTAGCAGGGGGGAGGGGCAGAGGGAGAGGGAGAAGCAGCTTCCCCGTTGAACAGGAAGCCCGACCTATCATCTTCTGTCACCGAGGATTTTTTTACTTTGTTTCCAATTTCCTAATAATGATATTGAATTACTTTTAGCATCTTTGCGTGCATAGTGAAGGAAAAGATCACTAGAAAATGATTTCCGAGTTCCACTGAAAACAGTCATAGCAAAAAGTATGGAGAAAGAGTCTCAGTGTTTCCAGTTAGGCCACAAAATGAAAAGTTAACATATTTTCCTTCAAATATCAAACTCAATCTTTAATTTCATTACGGCTGGGGACAATAATGCCCAACGTCAATGTCACTCTGTTCTGATGTATACTGATGTATAGAGGCTCAGCAAAGCAATGTTGAGCCTTTCTATTTCTGTGGGGCATCCTTCAGCTTGTTTGACTTCCAGGAGTCCCAGTGCTCTCTCTCTCTCACTGCTGGGGCTCTGCGGGGGAAGCTCCCTCTGGAGTCCCGGTGGCTCCCATTAGTCTCTGGCCCGCCCAGGTACCAGGGAGCGGCTTTGCCTGTCGCGGGGTGATGACTGATGGTCCCGGGTTCTGCCCCCACGCGAGCCTCCCTGCGACCCACCCCCCCGCCCCCCGCCCAGCAACCTTAGACCCCAGGCGTTGGGTGGTCCCTCGAGCCATCCCCTGCAGTGCCGGGAAGGCTTTCATCAATCCCACGCCCTTCTCGGCCGGCTCGCGGTGCCTGGGCACCTCCAGGGAGGGGAGCTGTCCGATGCGCGCCCTTCCCGGCGGGCGCGAGAGCTCGGGCGCCCAGTGCCAGGCGGCTGTCGGCGCTCGGGGACGAAGCCGGGCGGGGCGGCGGCGCGGGTCCGAGCGCCCGAGGCGCCGGCGGAACACGTGACCGCGCCGCGCGGGCCTGGGCGCGCAGTGCCGCGCGCTGGCGGCGGCGGGGAGAGCAATGGAGGCCGCGGCCGCCTGAGGGGCGGGTGCGCTGCTGGTGCTGCTGCGGAGGCTGCCGGTGCTGCGGGGCAGCCGCCGGCTTGCTCGCGTCCGCGGCCCGCGCGGGACCGCCGGTCGCCGTCCAGTCGCTCTGCCAGCCACGGCACCAGGCGGAGACTCAGGTGAGCGCCCTGTCGGCCCGCGGCCGGAGCCAGACAATGGGGGGAGCGGGCGGGCTTCTCCCCTGCACTCGCGACCCCCCAGTCTGCGCCCCCGCGACGCCCCGGGATTCCCGACCTTGCCCTTGCCCTGGGGACGTGGGCTCGATGTGGCCGCCCCGGGGACTTTGGGGCGGTGTCCCCGCGGGCACGGCAGGAACCTTCCCCGAGGAACCGGCGCTGGGTGTGCGCCGCTTTGGATCTCACGCGAGGGAACCTGCGGACGGGCTGCGCCCCGGGAACTTGCCGAGAGCGTGGGACCTTCTAATTCCCTTTCTCCTTCCCGCGCAGCGGCATCCTGTCCCGGGGTCCCGGGGTCGGGTCCCTGCTGCGGCGAGGGTAGAGCGAAACCTCGCCGTCTGGGATCTCAGACGCCGACCGTGCTCAGCCCTCTCCCCACGCCGGAGCTGCATTGCTTTGTTTAACCTCTGCCAAGCCATTTCGCACAAACTCTTGTTGCCCCAATTCTGATGAGCCACCAGTTTGATGGCTGAGGCAAGACAAAGGTTCTCCCTGTTTACCAAGGGCTGGAGCCGGGAGACTGCACACTGCCAGTGGTGTAGAATGTGTTTTCCTTATCTTCTCCCAGGCGTTCTTGCGATGGTTTTCCTGGTCCTGTAACCGTCATTTCTTGCAGAGGTCTGTAGTGGTGAGATTGGACCTCCCAACCCTACGGATACAGTAGGTGGGGGTATGGCTTTTATTCATGGTTATCAGTAAACAGAAGGGCAGACCTTTACATTTTATGTTTGTTCTCAGAAAAGAGGCATCGTGATATTTTCTGAATTCTAGATTTTTAAGAAAGAATGTATATATAAAGACATGTTGACTCAGTAGGTGGAGGGGGGCGGGGGGGGAACCTAGTAACTACGACCATGTGTTGTGAAATTTTAATATGGCTTTACGAATAATGGCCCGGAAACTGATCTGGTGTAGGTGAGGGAGTGTGAGAATGTTGGGGGTGGTGGTGATGGAGAGGGAGTGGTTAGAATACAAAGGATAAGGCAATTTTAGTAAACGGTTCTTAGTATATATCTTGTAGCAAATTTCAATTCATTAAGTTGTCAGTAAATCGATGTTCACCTGTAAAAATCACCTATCTTAGTTGTTGAATTATATATAAAATGGCTAACAATTATTTGGTATTGTATGTGACTCGGGAATCTGAATACAATCAATTTTGAGTTATTTTAAAAATGTCAACAAGGGAAATACACCTTCACTACTGCCTTCTTTATTCTGTGAGAAAACTGAATCCTAGTTCAATATGTTCAACAGAAAGTTGCCTGTAAGAAAAGAAATTTTAAAGGCAGGTTTTTAAAAGAAAAATGCATCTTATGTAGGTGATATGGCTGCACTATAGATTGCTTCAACTCAGAAATGTGAAGGGAAAAAAAACATGCTACTAGATTGCCCCTTTCCAGTATTAAAATGTATTTTCTTCAAAACCTTATTTTTACAGTCACCTCTGACACTGAGAAACTTTCACTCTAAAGATTTAGCACTGGGGCGCCAGGGTGGCTCAGTCGTTAAGTGTCTGCTTTTGGCTCAGGTCATGATCCCAGGGTCCTGGGATCAAGCCCCGCATCTGGCTCCCTGCTCTGCGGGAAGCCTGCTTCTCCCTCTCCCTCTGCCCCTGCTTGTGTTCCCTTTCTTGCTGTGTTTCTCTCTCTGTCAAACAAATGGATAAAATCTTAAAAAAAAAAAAAAAAAGATTTAGTACTTAGCACTAAATTTGGAGTCAAGAAAATAGTAATACTGACTTGACATACTTAGGCATTTGGTGCAGGAAACAAAAGCTACCGTGTAGTTTTTTCTAAACTATAACACACTATAATAAATGTAAGCTATTATTGCTGGATAAAGAAGTATTTTACAAAAATTAATTGAAATTAATATGAAATTCTCCAGGGCAAGGGACAGTTTATAGTCTTTTTTTGTAGTCCACATTTCTAACGTGGCTTATAGTAGGTGTTCAATATAGTTACGGAAAGAATGAATTAATGAAAAATAAAACAAAAATGGATAAAACATGCATGCAGATTGAATTGATTTGCTTCTTTTAGTTTAATGAACAATTACTGAAGGCCTCTGTGTCAAAATTGTGCACAATGTTTCCACATATAGTTTATAAAAGCCTGGTGACCTTCCTTTTTTGATCTTTTTTGATGTATGTTTCTATGAAGAGTGGGGCCTCTTGGGTGGTATTAATGATCATCTCAGATAACTGCGTAGCACGCTGAAGCATTTCACTTGTTATATGTACATGTACTTTCTCACAATGGCCTATGGGAAGGCAGGCCAGATATTATCACTCCTGTTTTGTAGGTGAGGAAATCCAGACACAGTGAGATTAAATGACTTGCCAACTCCCTGCCACTGAAGCAGCAATACCAGGGACAGAAGCTGGATCTCATGCCTAGTGTTTTCACCTATGAACCGCACTGCCTTTTTCAGGATACAGTGTACTCCAGAAAATCAGTCTCAAATTAGGCTTCATGAAAATGTCAAACTTTTGAATAACTTTTATATAAGGAAAACTTATATTTTACAACCTAGTAATTACTGAAATGGTTAAATGTGTAAGTTCTAGAGTCAGGTGACTAAATTTGAACCCTGGATTAACAAGTTGCTAGCACTGCATCTTTGGTAAGTGACTAAATATCTCTAAGTCTCAGTTTCCTCATCTGTAAAATGGTGGAAGTCATAGTACCTATCTTATAGGGTCTGGGGAAGGAGCAAATGAAATCATGTATGTGCATAGCACAAACAAAGCATTCAGTGTCAACTAATTATTTTTATTCCCATTATTATAATGTAAAGCAGTGGCTTTTATTTATTTATTTAAAAAAAGATTTTATTTGTTTATTTTAGAGAGAGAGAGTGCATGTGAGGGGTCAGGGGAGGAGCAGAGAGGGAAAGAGAAGGAGGGGGAAAGAATCTCAAGCAGACTTCTTGCCAAGCGGGGAGCCCCAGACAGGGCTCCATCTCATGACCCCGAGATCATGCCCCAGCTGAAACCAAGAGTCTCATGTTCAACTGACTAAGCCACCCAGGTACCCTTAAAGCAGTGGCTTTTAATTTTTTTTTTTTTGGAACAGTAAAAGGTGAATTTTATGTTGCCATCCAGTATACAAACACATTACAAATATGTTTAAAAGAAATTCATGAATCAAGCTTAAACTTCCTATGTACAATTCATTCTTATATTTTTATTCTATCTTATTTAAAAATGCTGGTTAAGAACCACTGAATGAGGGGCGCCTGGGTGGCTCAGTCGTTAAGCATCTGCCTTCGGCTCAGGTCATGATCCCGGGGTCATGGGATCAAGCCCCACATCGGGTTCTCTGCTCAGCAGGAAGCCTGCTTCTCCCTCTTCTACTCCCCCTGCTTGTGTCCCCTCTCTTGCTGTGTCTCTCTCTGTCAAATAAATAAAATCTTAAAAAAAAAAAAAAAAGAACCACTGAATGATTTCAGATTCCATTAATGGGTAGGACCTGAAGTTTGAAAATCGTTCATGTAAAGGATGATCGGGCTAAATGAAAGAAAAATCTTTTATTGAATCTTTACATTTTTCCTTTTAATCATCTACATTTGGAATGAATATTAAACTGAAAATAGATTCTTAAAAATTTCGTAGTAATTACAGTCATTTATTGGGTATCATGATCTAGGTACTGTGCTAAGCAGTCTATTTATATATGTTATCTAATTTAGGGCTCACAACAGCCTGTAATTTGGCCCTGTGTTTCCATTTGATAATTGAGATTAAGACTCAGAGAGGTTTTATTAACTTGCCCATGGTCATAAAGTTAGTAGAGATGAAGCAAGAACTCATACTGATCCTGTTTGACCGCAGAGTTCTCTGCTGTCTTACCCTGTTCCGATATTCTGTCACAGTGATTGCTGTAGATCTATCATTCTTTTTATGTAAATTTGAATGGCAGTATTAAGAATTTACCCCTTGTGGTACATCTTTTGTAGTTTCCTTTGAAAGGACCCATTTGAGGAAAATTTTCAGCTTAGTAAAGTAAGAAAATATATTGGGTAGACTAGTAACTCATTTTGACTTTGGCTATTCTTTGATGTAAATATTTGGGAATAGCTTCTCAGGTTTTTACGATAGAGTCAATTAATTGGTCAGTTTTATTGAGCACCCAAAGGTTTAATATGTCTTCAAAAGAGACATGAAATAGCTGTGTAACTATAAAAAGACTTCATTACGAATGAATGTCAGCATTTGTTAAGGCACAAAATGAAGACTTAAGAGCCACGAAGAGTATTTTATAGTATATTGATTTGTCTCAAACTCACTGGGCAGTAAAAGTATTTATTTTGTAAAGTACTTATAAGGAAGCACAACTAACTGCCCTATTAAAATTTTTTTATTTCAGTTCTTTGCAAGTGTTTCTTAATTTTTAGCAGTATTTCAATTTTAATTTTTTGGTTCTTGGAACTTTCCTCTTTTAAAACTATTGTCGGGAAGAATTAAAGCATGTTGTAAGGGAATATATTTTAAAAATGGTACTTAGAATTTACAAATAGGTGATTTTAAATGATAGTGGAAAAGCAGATTTCACTGTTTCTTTCACACTTGCATCTTATAGATTCAGACTCTTGTAGTGTCTGGTTTGCCTATTGCTGTGGATATGTAGGAGTATAATAATGAGATGATTACCAGCTGCTTAAATATCTTCTATACCTTAAAGTATAGAAATATGCTCCTGCTTTTTTGCATTATAGTGTCTCTGTGCATGGAGCTTTTAACTTCTAACTCTATGTTTAAACAGTTTATTTGTTGAATTAAGGTGAGTCTTTTCAAATTTGATAATTTTAAAATCAGAGTTTGTGTAGAGCATGATGATATATTAGACAAAGAAGTTTCATGGTTTCATGGTTTATTTGGTTTGAAAATCCGTATGTTTCTGTTCATTAGTCTTCATTTTCTGTTAAGATTAGATAAAAGTGAATATATTGCTTTATTTATTTTTGGATATCGATTTCATCCTTAGGTTAGCCCTCAAAAAATTGTTTTGCTACTAGTGAAATGCATACAGATTTAGTAAGCTTACATCTTATGCTTAATTTATTAACATTCCTTTTGTCTAACACTTGACCCTTAGTGAATTGGTATAGTTTCTGAGAGCATCAAGAAACATTCCAGCCATGGAATTGTTGTTGTAATTTGATACTAAACTTGGTTACCATTACATTTTGTACTATTTTTTTAATTGAAGTATAATTGACATACAATGTTTTAGTTTTAGATGTATAACAAAATGATAGTACTCTTACTGTCAATGTGAAAATTCTTAGAGATAAGAGTCCACTCAATTTAGATGTTTATGCTAGTGGCTTTGAGGCAGATCCATATGCATATATTAGACTTACATATATGTGTGATTTCTACAGCTATATGAGAAATGCAAGATTATAAACTCTTAATCCATACATTAAAAAAATTCTTAAGTAGCTTTGTGGAAATTAAAAAACAGTAAAAACCTTTAAAAGATGTTGAATATCTTATAGTTACATGTTATGAGAAACATTTAAGAAGCCAAACAGCCCAACCATGTGTAATAGCCTTTATATTGTAATAAGTTTGCATGTGAAAAGGTGATTCCATTTGAAATGTGAAAACGAAAAGCAGAAATATATTCAATCAGATTTTAAAATCTTCA